GGTAGGATGATCCCAGATCTACGAGTGCCACCACCTGCAAAAGAGCTTGGGGTCTAGGGTGTTTGGGGAGCTGCACAAAAACCCGAAACCCTAATGCCTAAACCCCCACATCCTGCTTTATCGAGGCAAGGTGCGGCATTGACTCTCAGCGATAGATCGTCGTGCCTTGCCAGGGGTAGTAGTGGTAGCGGTAATGGTCTCGTGGTGGTGGTAGTGGTATCTTGGTCTAGAAGTTACTGTACAGCTTTGAAGTATAGTCGTAGTAGTGGCGGGCATAAGCGGCACGGAGTAGCAGCCATAGTAGCAGAAAAGTATTAGTTGAAATGCAAGAACAGGTAAATAGCTTGTCAACCTTTAGACCAGACAGCCCAAGCCCTAAAACCGAAGACCCTAATCTTTAAACAGCAGGAGCAAAAACCTGAAAAATTCTCTAAGCCCCCTTGCGAGCCCAGGCCTGAACCCTGAAGCACGAAGAAAGCCCAGCTTGGACCAGGCCTGAGCTCATCGATCAGGACGGCTACGGGGTAGAGCGACGTGTCCACTCCCGAGGCGACCTCGAAGGATCCGGGGGCACTTCTATGCACAGGGTTCGGCATTTAGGGGTTTAGGGTTTACAGTTGGGTGTGAAGATAAGACCCCCTTAACCCAATAAAACTGGAAATATAAGTGTCCGCAAGGCCTATCTGGTTCATAGGGCTCAAACGAGATTCAGGCGCGTTCTGGGGGTCTGTGCCAGGTTTATGGCAACTTTAAAGTCAAAAGGGAGCTTCCAGGTGATGCTTTTCGGCTTAGACGCTTTGTACAGTTTCGGATAGCGACCGGACTTTCCAAGGTTGGGGAAGCATACACAACACGACGCCTTAAGTACCTCCTCATGCCGTATGCCAAACACTAGAAGTGTTTTGCTCCAAGTGCGGGGCCTGACCACAAGCACCAAACTTTAAAAGCCCCCTCAGCGTTTGTCGTAGTGAAGAGGGTTCGAAGTCCAAGGGCCTTTTTGTGGTCTACGGGAGCTTAAAGCTTCGGGCCACTGTGCCTTAAACCTCCCTCAGCCCCGAAGCCCTTAATCATTAATCCTCAACCCAAAACCCTAAACCCAAAACCCTAAACCCCAAAACCCTACTTAGAGAGCACGCCTTAGGGTCCCATCCTGGGGCTCCCGCGCTCATTGGGCCTCCTGATTTGGGGTTTAAGGTTTAGGGTTTAGGGTTTAGGGTTTAGGGTTTAGGGTTTAGGGTTTAGGGTTTAGGGTTTAGGGTTTAAGGTTGAAAGCGCAGGGCTGTAGAGTTCAGGGCTTAGGGCTTGTTACGAGGTGGGTTCCCCAAACCTCCCTTCAAGGAAGCTACTCCCAAGAGTCTAAGACCAAAAGCAGCCAGACCTAAATGCCCTCTTGTGACCATCAAGTCCAGCTTGAAAAGTGCATAGGGAACAAGAATCATGGACGGGGGCTGGTGTTGAAACTCCGAGCCCAAAAGGCTGCGCAAACCCCAAACCATTAAAACCCTTCGCCCCCAAAATCAGACTGCCAAAAAAGTGGTCAACAAAAAAGCGCCCTGCCCCTAAGAACAAAACATCTGCAACGAAAAGAAAACCGCAGCGCAGCCCCTGAAACCCTGCGGTAAACCCTAAACCCTAAACCCGAAACCCGAAACCCTGAACCCTAAACCCTAAACCCTAAACCCTAAACCCATGAGCCTCGTGCGCCGTCGGGAAGGCCTCGGGCCGTACCCTTCGGCTCAATGAGGCGGTCATGGCTGCGGCAGGTTTCGGGAGTTGTGAGATTGGGCCTTATGCGGGCTAAAGGGGTTGAGGGTTTAGGTGGTTTAGGGTTTAAGGCTATTCGGGGGTCCTGGGGTTATGGCGGGTTGTGGGGGGTTTTGGGGGGTGATGTGGGTTGCGGGTTCAGGGTTCTTTGGTTTAGCGTTTGGGGGTTTAGGGTATTTGGGGTTGTCTGGTTTCGGGAGTAGTTAGGGTCATGTGGTTTGGGGTTTGGGGTGGGGTGTTCTGTCTGACGCTTTAAGTGAATTGGCTTCAAGGCCCTACAATTATCGGTCCCTTTTGCGGTGCGCGTTTAAGGATTCTACTACTTCGGGGGGTACCCCCCAGGCTTTTCGATCCTGAAACCCCGATAAACCTGAACACCGAAACTTCCCAAACACGTTCTTTTTCCGTGAGGCGCTTGTGGGTGTTCCGAGAAACTCCGACGGCTCAGTGTTCATCTGGCGGCGAGGGTTCTGTCGTAGGGGCTAAGGGGTTATGTGGGGATCATCCGCGGCATGTACACGGGATGACGCGAAGAACTAAAAGCTACAGGTACCCAAGCAGTCAAGCAGCAACCCGACATCAGTTGAAGGCCAACTTGAGGAGTGTATTCCGACGCAATGCTGCATCTGGACTTCTCAACATTTCTCCTGCTCTCTCTCTCTCTCTCTCCCTCCCTCCCTCGATCTCTCTCCATCTATTTCTGTCTTTATCTATCTCTCTCTGTCTCTCTCCCGCTCTCCGTCTCTCCATACGGTCAAGATCTCTTCCACATTTACAACATAAGATGCCCCTAAACCGTACATCCCAAACCTTTTTGAGCCTACTGGTGTTCTCGATTCAAAGTGTCGTTGCTCACTATATTTCTTCTCTATAGAGAGCAGACGAAATCTCAATAATGTCTTTCCTCTTCGAAGTTGCGTAGGCATTTCGTTTCGTCTTCTCCGTAGAGAGGAGACCAAGTCTTCCTGAGGGTCCCTATAGGCATTTTAACTATCTTTTCCATAGAGAATAAACGAGAATATTGATGTTCGCGCATATGATTGATTCGATTTGACTCCTTCTCTCTTTCCCTCCATCTTTCATATTGATCCTCATTTAATTTGTTTTATAAAAGATATTAAGAATCGTGATTTCTCGAAAATGTTGAGTTCATCCCTCTTTCAATTTGATCTTCAACCGAATTGGTTCCATGGGTTTAGACAAGCATGTGTGTTCAGATAGGTGGTCGTGCCCTATATTGGAGAATATGTATCATCCTTCCAATCATCGCGAATATTGAATTCTTACTCATGAAAATGATGATGCTTTTTGGTAGAATATGACGAAAAATCATTTCTCGTCCAATTTGATTCTAAATAGAAAACTGAACCGATCTTCCTTTATTGATTTTACCTATTCTAATTGATCTATATAAATATGAAACAGCAGCCTTTCGGGTCTATTCCGCTTCTATGCTTGCTTGTGTATGCTAAAGCGAAGTTAAATAATTTAAACTATGTAAACAATTTAAAACCAACTCCATTGGTTCAAATTATTGGTTAAATAATGTAATTAATTAAAAAAGGAAATTCCAATTTTAAAATTAATTTCAAAATTCTAATTCTTTAAATAGGCTAAAGGGGTCGTGTAAATTAGTAAAATTACGTAAACTATTTAAATTGTTCAATCTCCGAAAACCCTTTTGACAATTTAAATTATTTAGACAATTTAAATGGCCCTATTAAGTTATATAAACTATTTGAATTAATTGAATTATGAAAATTCATTTAAATATTCAAATTTCATGGGGAAAATTTTTCTAAAGGCCTCATTTGAATTATGTAAATAATTTAAGTCTCCGAAAACCTTCTTGACAATTTAAATACCTTAAAGAATTTAAATGAGGCCTTTGGAAGGTCTTCCCCAGGAAACTCCAATATTTAAATTAATTTAAATAATTTGAATAATTTACATTATGTACATTTTTTGAATTTTTTCAAGGAGGTCGTTTAAAGTATGTATATTATTTGAATAATCCCCGAAAACCATTTTGACAATTTAAAGTATTTAAATAAGTTAAATGGCCCTACTTAAATTATGTAACTTATTCAAATGAATTAAAGTACTTAAAATAATATACATTTTCAAACGTCCTGGGGGAATCTTTCTGAAGGCCTCATTTAAACCATTTAAAGTATTTAAACCCCGGAAAACCCTTTTGACAATTTAAATAATTTAACTAACTTAAATAATTTAAATAACTTGACTAACTGAAACTATTCAGGCCTCTATAAGGACTTCCCCAGGAAATTCCACTATTTAAAATAATTTGAATAGTTTAAATAATTGAAGTTGTTGAAATAATTTACATAATTTAAAGGGGGTCGTTCAAATTATTTACATTACTTAAGTCCTCGAAAACCTTTCTGACAATTTACATTATTTAAATTATTTCAATGGTCCTATTAAGATTGATTAAACTAATGAAATTAGTTCAATGAATTAAAATGTTCGAATCTCCTGGGGAAATCTTTCTAAAGGCCTCATGTAAAATATTTAAATTTATTAAATCCCCGAAAACCCTTTTAAAAATTTGATTCATTGAATTAATTTAAATGAGGCCTTGGAAGGCGTGGGGAAGGAAATTCCAATATTTAAAGTAATGTAAATAAATTACATAATTAATTAAAATAATTTAAGTAATCTAAATACTTTGAATAATTTGAATAATGTAAATAGTTGAAGAAAATTTAAATGATTTATAGGGGGTCGTTTAAATCATTGAAATTATTGAAAATATTGAAATCCTGGAAACCCCTTCTGACAATTTAGATTACGTAAATCAATTAAATGGCCCTATTTAAATTTCTTAACTTATTTAGATTAATTAAATTATGTAAATTACTTTAAATATTCAAATGTCCTGGGGAAATCTTTCTAACGGCCTCATTTAAATTATTTACATTACTTTAATCCCCGAAAACCCTTTTGACAGTTTAAGTATTTTGCAGAATTTACACGAGGCCTTTGGAAGGCCTTCCCCAGGAAATTCCAATATTTAAATCAATTTACATAACTTAAATAATTTAAGTAATTGTAATAGTTTAAAAATTTTCATAAATTGAAAAAGTTAAAATTTAAAGGAGGTCATTTAAATTAATTAAGCTATTTAAACTATTAAATCCCCGAAAAACCCTTTTAACAATTTAAAATATTTAAATAATTTAAATGGCCCTATTTAAATTCATTAAACCATTTTACTTGTCCTTGAAGAAGGCCTTGCCCAGCTTGGTGACGCGGTAGTTGCCGTCGGGCTGCAGGCTGCGCACCAGCTTCTTGGCGCCTCCCCGAAGCAAAATGTAGTCGTTGGGGCCGTCGCGCACGAGCGGCTGCGCCTCGTTGAAGCGCCGCGAGGGCGGGCGCCGCCCGACCAGCTGGTAGTAGAACTGCCCGGCGCGGGTGGGCTGCCCGTCCGGCCGGACGAGCAGGAGCTGCTGGGCGTTGGGGAGGCGCAGCAGCTCCGAGCCCTGCGGAGAGGTCCGCGCGGCGACGCCCGCCTCCACGGCCTGCCGGATTCTCTGGCGTTGCTGTGCCCAAGACATGATTTACTACCAGACCTTCGGCGACGGCGGTCGGGCGAACGCGGCACTTATAGTGCACCTATAGTTCACCTATAGTGCACCTATAGTGCACCTAGAAGGGGCACTGCGGCTTCGGTGGCTCGGCCTGCTGCAGCATCACGTCCGTGACCTCGGCCAGCACGCCGCACTGAGAGCTCATCAGCCACACCTGGCGCAGCTCCACGTGGACCTTGCACAGGCAGCCCTGCAGGTCCAGCTTCTGCGTGGGCAGCTCCTCACCCTCCGGTCCCCAGAGTCGCACCTTTTCGTAGTGGAGCTTCAGCTTGAGGAACTCCGTGCCGCGGGTGTTGGTCTTCAGCGCGCTGGCCATCCGCTCCTTCACCTCCTCGGGCTTCAGGGGCTTGCCGAAGATGCGGGAGTCGCGCTGAGAGTGCTCCGAGAGCGCCTTGGTCACCAGCTCCTCCGTGTCCCGGAAGAAGGCCCGGGCGGCCTCGTCGGGCTCCAGGCACATGGACACGCGCACCGCCTCGGGGTCGCCGTAGCTGGACGGGTTGCAGATCACTTTCAGCCACTCGCTCTTCCACGTCGGCGCATCGCCACCGTCTCCGCGCAGCGGGATGTACTTTCCGCCCTTGGAGTTTGTGAGGATGTTGCCCAGCTGGATCGTCATGGCCCCCGTTTTCTTGTCCTCCTAAAAAAAATGCCGCCCTGTGAACGCGCCGGCCCCGTGAGCTTCGGGGAGTTTCTGTGCGTCGCGCTGACGCTGGCCGGCGGCGTCGCCGTGCTGTGGGTCCTCGCGAGACCGTGGGAGGAACCGTGGTCATAAAAAACGCGGCTGCTCGAGCTCTTCTCGGGCACGGGGTCCGTGGGCCGCGCCTTCCGGGAGCGCGGGCGGGAGGTCACGAGCCTCGACCTTAATCCCAAGGCCCGCCCGACCATCTGCTGCGACATCCTCCAGTGGCAGTACAGGGACTACGCTCCCGGCCACTTCGACATGGTCTGGGCGAGCCCCGTGCGCACCGAGTTTTTCGTGGCCCTCAGGAACCCGCCCCCCCGACCTGCCGGCCGGCGACGCGCTGGTCCTCAAGGCGCTGGAGATGATCGACTACCTGAGGCCCAGGCGGTGGGCCCTCGAGAACCCGGCCACGGCTGCTGAAGACGCGCGAGTACATGGCCGGGCTGCCCTTCCACGACGTCACCTACTGCAAGTTCGGCTACCGGTACAGGAAGCCCACGAGGATCTGGGGCAACCTGCCCTGGACGCCCTCCCGCGGCGTCTGCAGGAAGGGCGACCGCTGCGAGGCCTTCGACGGCCGGGGCACCCGGAGAGCGCGCAGCGGGGCTCCCGCGGCGGCTATGAGGGCAGCAACTCCAGGGACCAGCTCTACTCGCTCCCGCCCGCGCTGTGCGACGAGATTGCCGGGAGCATCAGTTAAAAACCGGCTCTACGAGTGCTACCGCGCGCTCTGGGTAAAGAATGGGCAAGGTGCGTCTCTTCAAGACGCCCGACTACGCCGTCAAGCAGCCGCCCGATCCGGTGGTCTGCAAACTCCCCGCCAACGGGATCCTCTGCGCACCCTCGGCCAGCGGGAAGACCGTTCTCCTCGTGTCGATGATTTTGGAGCAGTACCGGGGCTGCTTTGAGCGCATCTACATCTTCTCGCCCTCCGTGGAGGTCGACTCCGCCTGGCAGCCCGTCAAGGACTACATCAGGGACGAGCTGGGCGTGAACACGGACCGCGAGCAGTGCTGGTGGGAGGACTGGGACGAGGGGGCGCTCCGGAAGATCATCGCGGACCAGAAGCGCATCACGCAGAATAAGGAGCTGGGCCTCAAGAAACTCTACCAGGTTCTGGTGGTCCTCGATGACCACGCGGATAACCCCGCCGTGCACAAGAAGGCGGGGGACGGCGTGCTCGACACGCTCTTCATCCGCGGCCGGCACTTCTGTATCTCGAGTTGGGTGTCGACCCAGAAGCTTCGGCTTATGAGCTCCGCCGTGCGGGTCAACGTCATGTTCTACGCGGTCTTCCGGCTGCGGAACCAGCTGGAGCTGGACGCCCTGGTTGAGGAGTTGAGCGCCATGCTCTCGAAGGAGACCCTCTACGCCATGTACGAGGAGGCCACGCGGGAGCCCTACGGCTTCTGGTTCGTGAACCTCCGCGCTCCCAAAAGCGAGATGTTTTGGATTAATTTTGAGAGGCGTTTCCTCGTAAACGACGATGGGCAGCCTGCTGAGCCAGATGGCGGCCAAGCTGCTGGGGAACGGAGGGCCCCTGCGCGAGAGCGAGTGTAACAACCTTAGGTGCTGCACGACCACCCAGGGCGTCTACGACCCGAGCCGCTACTGGCCCCCGCCGGAGCGGCCCCGGCAGGTCTCGGAGGAGTCGGCCGTCAGCGAGTTCTCGGCGCGGCGCACAGGGATTTTCCGCCGTAAGAGAAGAGAAAGCCGCAAATGACCGGCCGTCTACCATAGCCAAAGCATGTCAGCACTTGGATCTTGTTCAGGAAATGAGACAAGAGCATCGCCGAGACATGCACAAGGCCCAGAAAGGTCACAAAAGGCAGCCACTTGCAGGGGCCTTAACAGTTTCCGTTGATCTGAGCAGAGCCTTTGATTCTGTCAACAGACAGGAGTTGCTTGAAGCCCTAGATAAGCTCGACACTGACCAAACAACTAAGGATTTTGTCGCGCAGCTGCATTCCAACACATCGTATAATATGGGCACTAATGGGCTTGAGTTCAGTGTTCCTACCTCTTCGGGAATAAAACAGGGATGCAAATTAGCACCTGCCTTGTGGTCTGCGTTGACCTTGCTAGTAATGGACAGGATGGAGAAAAAATGGGGGCCGGGCTGCAGTCAGGCAAGAGATATACTCACTGTCTTCGCTGACGATTTTCTTCATCAGGAAACTTTTACCAGCTTTGCCGAACTGAAGCAGGTACTTACTCGGCTTGAAGCATTATTTCAATCCCTCGAGGAAGTTGGCCTTGAAGTTAATCCAGCGAAATCCAAGGCACTGCTCATGGTGCAGGGCACTCAGCAATCTCACTTTCGCAAGCAATATACCAAGAGAATCAAAAATCAGCTTCATTTGGTACTTCCATCGGGTCCTCAGATTCCGATTCACCATCAGCTGACCTACTTAGGAGCGCAGCTAAGCTATGGCTCTTACAAGGATCAAACGGTTGACCTGAGGATTTCACAGGCCCAAGGCAAATTTGAGCTCCTCCGGAGCATATTGCGCACGACGAAGGCCCTCGATGATGCGAAGAAACTAGAGATCTGGCGAGTGTATGTTGAGTCTTCGCTTTTGCATGGCATTGTTTCCACAGGAATCACTCAACAGGCCTGCAGAAACTCCAGTACCTGGGCTTACGCAGCAGGTTGATTCGCCAGCAGCAGTCAGTTCAATCCATGCAATTGACTCTGGCCGAAGAAGATCATGCAGTACCCTGCTCACTATGTGATAGATGTTTCTCTAGCAACAAGGGATTGCAACATCATACCCTGGTGAAGCATGGAGGCCAGAGAGCAAACCAGCTGGGCCCCAAATTCCAGGTCTTCGCACATAGTCAGCAGGGACTCCCGCAATGTGCTGCATGCTGCAAACAACTGCGCACTATGCATCAGCTTCGCAGACATGTTGAATCAGGAACATGTTCTAAGCTTCCAGAGCTGAGGGAGCGATCGTCGTCCTGCTCAGGAGCGGAGAGCACAGCCTTGCTGCTTCAACCTAGTGTGCAGGAACAGCTGAAACGAGATCCTGACTTGCTTCTCAAAAAGGATCATGTAACCATGCACTTGCGGGCCTACTGCAGCCTCTGTGGACAGTTCATAGTCGGTCACAAGGGCGTCAAACAGCACATTCAGAAGGCGCATCAGGCCTTCTGGACAGGGGCCTCAGATTCAGTCTATGCCAACATGCACACACATAAAAGACTCCTCCATAAAAAGGAAGAATGCAGATACTGTGGAATGATGGTTGACGCTCCGGTTCGCCATGCAGACCAGTGTGTAGTCCTGCTGCAGGTCTATGCAATGAGTGCAGCAATGAACAAGTCTGCCGTCCCACACATAGCATATGGCACTGTGACATCGGAACTTGGGATTCGTGCACAGGAGGGTTCCTCCCAGGAGGCTTCCTCCACCAGTAGGATTCAGTCTCATCAGGCACCAGCAAGTTCCCAGCGAGACGCACCAGCAGAAGGGAGACCTTCGTCAGTGCCCGTCACAGCCTGGTCTCTGGCCTATCATAATCCGCATCAACTGTGCTATGCACACACAGTAGTGCATATCCTTGCCTCGCTTGCGTCAGAGGGTATTCTTTCTGATCCATATCTGAGACAAATATTGACTGAAATTGACACGATAGGGGGTCGTTCTTCTAGTGTGGATGTTCGTAGGCTGCGACAGCTACGCCCTCTGCTGACGGGATGGCGATTCAGACCCAGGCAAGAAGACGCATCCCAGTTTCTGGCACATATCATTCAGAGATCTCACGCGCTTTCAGCAGATGTTTGGGAAGCGAGAGTTCAAATCACAGCACCCGTGGAAAGAATCAGCGTAGAGGATAGAGGGGGTTTGATTCTTTTCTTGCCTGACCCACCAGATGGCCTCTCCACGCTACAGCAAGCCATTTCTCAGCGGGCGAACAGGGGGAGCACCTATGGGCTACTCCCAGGAGTGAACTTGGTTTGCGTTCAGATCCAAAGGTTTGAGCACTTGGAGAAAACAAATCGACCTCAAGTCTTAGACACAACTTTGGAGCTCCCAGAGTTTATAGATAATGGCACGACAACCGCTGTAGTCAGCTTTCGACTATATGCATTCATCATTCATCTAGGAGATGATTGGAGATCTGGGCATTATAGGACAGGCTTTTGGAGAGAAGAAGCGGCGTATCTCGCAGATGATGACCGCTCACCGCGGCGAACTACGCTCCTCTCGGATCAAA